CCCTGTATATATGTCAACAATAGGCAATGTTGATTTGGGAATGTTTTTATGTACATACTGTTTGTTTGTGAAAAACCATGAAAGACATACACACACACACACACACACACACACTTATGAATATACATTATCATCTCAATCTCAGATAGGTAAACTAGAATTATTCTACACTTACATACATAAAGCAATATTTAAGGTTTTCAGTTAGACTTGAAATCTGTTAAAACTTTGAATGGACATGTCATCTCTCCTTGAACTTGGAGCACCACAAATTATACTAATGTTTGTTCAACAAGTTGAATACACATGAAACATGATTAACCAATGAAAATCAAATAACACTAAAGTAAAGATACCAGAATTTCTTTTTTCTCCATAGATCATTCTCTGATGAAGCTTTAGTAAAAGTGAAACACTATTGGATTCACGCCATTGATTCCCAAGTAGGCATCTACGTGGACGACACTACAATTTACTCCTGCATCAAAAACAAATCTAGTGTCGCTGACAAAACTAACCTGGCTGTTCGTCTCAAAAAGGACCTCCAATCGGTTGTGAACTGGGGCAGTAATTGGCTGGTTAACTTTAATGCCTCCAAAACAAAACTGCTCTCTATTAATCACCACAGAGGTCCTTCCCTGCCCCCCATTAGAATGTCTGACACTCGACTCCACGAGAGCACCTCTCTGCGGCTGCTCGGTCTCACCTTGTCTACTGACCTGAGATGGAACAAATACATTGAGTCAATTGCTTAGCCCACCGCAAGGAAAGTTGGCTCTCTGTGCCACGCCAGGAAATTTTTTTCCCCCCCGGAATCAATCCTTCAAATCTACAAATCAACCATTTGCCCTTGCATGGATTATTGCTGCCATATATGGTCTGGAGCCCCTTCTGTTTGCCTCAGGGTTCTTGATAAGATCCAGAGACAGATATGCAATATAATTGGCTCTGATCTGGCATCTCATCTGCAGTTGCTCTCTCACAGATGCGTCATCGCCTCTTTCTGTCTTTTTTACAAATACTTTCATGGTAATTACTCCGATGAGCTGCTTTCGCTGGTTCCCAGACTTCGTGAATTCAAGCGTCCTATGAGGCTGGCATCCTGCTCTCACCCTTTCACTGTTGAATGTAGCCACCTCTTCTACTCCAATAGCTTCATATCTCGCACCTATTGCCTGTGGAACTCCCTTCCCTATTCCTGTTTCCCTGATAGCTATAATCTCCAACTATTCAAATGTAATGTCAATCGACATCTCCAGTTGCCTTGATCTATCCACTATCCTTCTCCTCATCCTTTCCTCTATCATTCCTATCTGCTCTCACTCCAAATCCTATATAACCCTTTGCGTGCTAGTGGCTTCCCGCCTTGCTAGGGGGGGAAATGCTTAAAAAAAAAATATATATATATAGAGAGAGAGAGAGAGAGTAGGCAATATCAATTTCATAAAGATGTACAAGTACATCCATATCATAAAATGATAGAACAGATGAAATCTAGAAAAAAAATGCACTTTCTATTATGAATAAAGTTGGAGTTTAAATGTCTATTTAAGTTGAGATGCATTTTTTAAATTAAATTTTCAAAGGAACTAAGTTGTTTTTTTGTTTTTTTTTAAATAATATATTTGTGAAAATAAGAGCAGAGTGATAAGCCTTTGCGTATTAAAATAACCTTGTTTAATTTTAATGTCCCAAAAACTTAAACTGTAATCAACTTTGTTGATCAGTCTGATGCCAGCCACTGGTTATGTTAACAGGGTACACACCTCACACACAGTAGCCACATTCAGTAGCTGGACTTTCACACTGTTAACAGACTTGCATTTCTTGTACACTTTGTTTAGGTGTTTTAAAACAAAATTATGCTTGTACTCCCAAAACAGAAAATATTCAACTGCACTAGGAAATGGTTGTCTATTGAAATTATCTAGAATCCTGCCAAATTGTTGTTCTAACAGGATTAGCTTTAGTTTGAAAGAACTTTTTATAATATTTAAATAAACCAAACTTGGAAATACTTGTATTTATTTTCCAGCTGTGTGTGCTAAGTTTTCCTTGGAGAAAAAAAAACATTTTCAGCTGTACATTTTGTATTTATGTCATGTTTTTTTTATTTCATTGCAAGATTTTTTGCACATTTAATACATTTTGTATTTCATATAGCAAGAATTTTTTTGTATTTGTATTTATATAGCAAAATTTTGCACATGTCTAATACATTTTGTATTTCATATAGCAAGAATTTTTGCACATGTCTAATACATTTTGTATTTCATATAGCAAGAATTTTTGCACATGTCTAATACATTTTGTATTTCATATAGCAAGAATTTTTGCACATGTCTAATATGCTTTGTATTTAATATAGCAAGAATTTTATTTCTCTGACATGTCTTTGAATCAAGATGATCATGATTAAAAGTCATTATTGTAAAATTATGATTACAATTAAAAGTCATTATAAAAAAATATAATAAAAGTTTTTATATTTCATGGTAATTGTTCTGATGGACTTTCCACTACATTACCTAAACTTTATGAACTTAAGCACAGTACTAGATTGATGGTAAGGTCTCTTCATTTTTTTAGTTGAAATTGTTAAATGTAACCATAAATTCTATGCTAACAGTTTCTTCTATTGCACGTCTCACTTGTGGAATTCTCTTCTGTCTTATTGCTTCCCAATCAACTTTGGTCTTCAAAAATTTAAATGCAATGTCAATTGTTATCTTCTGTCTTCTTGTTCTTTCAACTTAATAGTTTTTTTTTTCTCATATTCTTTAACACTCGGTAACCTCTTGCATATAACTGGCTTTATTGCTTTGCTTGGGGTGAAATGATAATGAAAAAAGAAGCTATACTCCACAAATTACATGCAAATATGTACACACACAAAATATGGTGTCTTTTAATGCAAAATTTATGAATGTTATTTATTGATTTTTAAAAAAAAATTTTTTTTAAATTATTAAAAAGAAACTGTAAATTATACTCTGTGAAAAATTGTCTTTGAAAAAAAGCTGATCATGAAACCCTTATGCTTATCTCATATTTGAAAATATTTTACAAATTTTCCGATAATATAAATTCTCAAGTTTTTTTTACTTGATATTCAGACTGGAGCAAATTTTCTTCCTTCATAAAAATATAATTCAAATATTAATTTTGTAATTTATTATTAATGGCTATATTTATTCTTAAACATAATCAATCTTTAAAAAAAATATTGCTCATAATAACTTCATTTTAAGGCAGTTATTTCAGATAACATATAAATAAGCATATCTTTTTATTTTTATAAGTTTTAACTTCAAAATTAACTTGATTTTTTTTTTAATTCCTTTTTAAATTACAAATCACGATCAGTGTCTGAATTAAAATGTACCTTAATTATCACTACTTAATAAAAAGTGATATATCATTTGTTGATTGATTTATTTAATGGCATATCAACTCCTTATGGGTCATTTAATGCTGAAATTTAATTTTCTTGGGACCTTTGAAGTAATAAAAATATGATATATGTTATTCTTCTTTCACAAAGAATACATGGTAGATGATGCTCAGCTTTTTTGCATATACATGTTTGTGTGGGCATGATCACTAGAGGCAGTGATATGTGTTTTATGTTGTAGTTTTGTTGAAATTATATTTTGGAATACAGTTTGATTTCTTTAAGATTTAAAAAAAATTACACTTTGATTGATTGGTTCATATTTTAAGGTTTATCAATCCTTTGCAGGTTTAAAGCCATAGAATATTTTTAGATTGTAAGAATTTTTTTTTTTTTTAGAAATAATGATTTACTGATACAAGTTTTACTAATTAACCCATAGCTGGGAGGGGAAGAGGTAGATTCATACGTTTCCAAAGGGTATTTGCACATAAGTGAATATAACAAACCCAACTGGAATTGGAACTTGGCTTCTTGATTCACAATTCTGAGCTGTTATCCATTACACCTCCTGCAAATCCAAGCTTACACAACCTGGTATTGCCAAGCGGCCACTCATCTAGGTAATGATCAGGCTTGACATTGCTTAACTTCAGTGATCGTATGGGAACCAGTGTTTCAACATGATGTGGCCATAATCCTGATGATATATGAAAAATATTTTGAAATGAACTCATTAATTTCAATACCATAATTGTATTTCTAACAAAGTATTCAATTTTCTTCTTTTTAAATATGGTAAATTATAAATGTCTAGCTTTAAATTGCTTCTAAAATTATAATATAAATTGACCCTAAAATACCAAAATTTTCTTTTAAATTTTGGTAACATGAGATTTTCCTGTGATTTCTCATTTTTTTCCTTTTTAAGAAAATATTATTAATTTTTTTTTTTTTTTAATCATTTCACCCCAAGCAAGGTGATAATGTGACTATGATACAAGGGGTTACTATGGGTGAAAGAAAATGAGAACGCTTTAGCAGAAGGAACCGGAAACCCAGTTCTAAACAGTAAACAAGGGATAAACCTGTACAAAAGATGGGGAATGAGTGTGAACCAAGATTTAAGATGCTTGTATACATTTTCCATCTAGAGAATGAATTTGAGTCATCAATTTCATTGTCATCTCTGATTAAAATATATATATATATATTTGTTTACATTTGATACGCCATGAGCAGATATGAATGTACATGAGAGGTTCATAGAAGATTGCTAACCGAATTCTCCTCTGTGGCCAAATTGATTAAAGGCATGTCAAGCTAAATGATGGCTCTGTATAGGATACAGGTTCGAATCCTGTCGGAGGATGAATATTTTCTGTGAAAATTTCTCGGACATTCAGGCCGGTTGTTTAATACTGTTTATTATAAACAGAGCATTTACTTGAATATTTGTATCTATAAAAAGAATGTATAAACATAAAAATGTCTTAAAATAATTGTCGGACTTTGTCCATTTCTCTATGTGTGACATCATATATATAAATATATATATATATATATAAAATAATTTGTACTATAAATGTTTTTTTGTTTTTTCTAGATCGGCTGCAAGTCTATTTATACAAAGATTGCAAAGATGCTCTGAAAGCAGGAAATGCTAAAAGCACTTTTCCTCTGGAAGGATTTTATGGCATTGAATCTGGATTCTCTTATGAAAAAGAATGCAATGTCATGGCTATCATCTGTCAAAAACAGGTGATCATGATGGCATTTGAATCCAGAGAACTTATGATCCATTTTGAATTACGAATCAGACGAAGCTTGGGGGAAGGTATGTGCTTTTCTTTTTTTTGTGTGCATGCGCACGTGTCACATACACTTTTTAATTGTGATAAATGTTGATATATTTAACATGTTGGATGCCAGAGGACAATTACAAAATCTGCTATCAGAACTGACACCCACCCCACCCCCTGGGACAATTTTCATGCATGTTTCCCAATGAGAAGAATTATCCAATAATAAGATTTATATTTTTATATCACTTTCAATTATATAACTAAAATTGCAAATTATTGGCTATACATCCCAAAAAGTTCAACACATGGCCATTCTTGAAATCTTGTACAATATTTACTACTCTAACAAATCTTGATAATGTTTCCACAGGTCAGGCCAGGATTATCCCATAAACTTCAAGACAGCTTTTAGAAATTTATCTTTGTTATTGAAGTAAAAGCAAAACTTAAAAAATTTGCCCTTTCCATTGTCTGAGGGCATTTGTCCTATAATCACTAAATCTGATTCCAAATGCCAACTTTATAATAAATAGCCAACTTAAGGCAATAAAATATTTTTATGATTTGATTTATAACTTCAACTGAAGTTTTAACATTGTTTTCACACTGAAAGTATCACCGTGAATGAATTTGTTGTTGGTGCCCACTGATGTAAAAGTAACAGAAAATGCCAAACACAAAATAACTTGTTGTTGGTGTCATAATAAAAACTGCCAACCACAAATTGGTTGGCAGTCCACATGTTAATATCAAACTCTATTTGACTGTCAAATAAGCTGGACATTTTTATAACAGATGTCATTTTATTCATGGGAGTCTGTCCTTTGCACCATACCTTTTTGTGTTACAAAAAGAGATCAAGAAATCTCCAGTTAGTGTTATAAAGTATTTTTTGCTCTCCTTTATGACCCTTTAAACCCATTTTCAGACAGAAGTATTTTGTTTACACTGAAAGGATTGATAGAATTTTTCAGAAAGTCATCAAGTTTACTTCACTCACTCACAGCCCCCATGGTCTGTTTGCTACTAGCCCGTGAAAGAAAAGTCAGAAGTTATTAAAGTTTTACAATTAGCCAGGAATTACATAGATTTACATGTTCTTTAAAGCAGTCTATTCAACTCGGCAATTCTTATGCTTAGCTAGGAGTGAAACTGATTTACATGTTCACTGATCTCATCCAGTGAGAAGCATTTTTTTTTTTTTTTTTTTACAAAAACAGCATGTGACTTGACTCAAAGGGGCTTTGGACTTCTAGGTGCATTGCCATTAAAATTAACAGATTAACCATAAATTTTTGGTGTGCAGAGTTTTGCTTGATTTAGTCTGAATTTGAAAACAAGAAAAGAATGTAAAATAAAAAATAAAGTCATTTAAATTGTAAAAGAAGAGATGATTCTCTGCCCATCACACACTGTCTGTGTGAGATTTTGCATGAGTGTATATAATGCATTTCTGAACATAAGACCTGGGTTCAAATCTCTCCATGGTTGATTTATTAGGAAGGTGACATCTTGATATTATTAGTCTGGGGAAGTCATCCCAGCATTCAGCATTTTGGGAAAGTGCCAGAAAATCATATCACAAATTAACCCAAGCCTTGTGAGTGAAATTGGATAAATGGAACTGATCAGAAACCGTTGATGGTTATGCTAGCATGAAGTCACAAGTCATTGTGACTGAGTGTTTGAACATATTAGCATTGTTCAAACTGCTGATCATGACAAATTATATGCTCTCGAATAGAAACTATAGCTAAAGTATGCTCAGCATAGATGCAGTGTAAACCACAGGTGGGCTCTGTGTGTATTGTGCAAACACCAATGTACCTGAGCAGGTGTCTGTGCCAGGGATTGTCTAGCCACTCTAACAGACAGGTGTGCTCAGAAAACAAAAGTAGGCAGCCATTATGTAATGTATATATGTATGTCTATCAGAGACTTTCATGTACTTGTGTGAAGAAAACCCACATTAACAAACAAAAATTGAAATGCTTGTGGAATGGTTTCTGATTCTTGGTTTTTTCTTTGCAAGCCTAAAAGAAAGGTAAATATGTCCTGAATTTTAATTTTTTTATTCAGCAATTTTAACTAAGATTACAAATTGGAAACATTTATAAAAGTTATAAATAAAGAAAAATTCAAAGAAAAATTGTGAAAAATTATCATAAATTTTTTTCAAATATTTTTTTATTTTTTTTTCATAATCAGATATTAGAAAAAGAATGGCTAACTCACACAAAATGACACGGTTCAAATAGATTGAACTTTGTGATTATATTTTTTGTGAGGTAAAATAAATTCCAGCAATTTTTACTTCTCTTTTAACTATTATAATATGAATATACTTTTTTTCTTTTCCTCATATTTTCTTTGAAAATTTAATAAATTTTATGTGATTGATCTTTTCAAATGGCATATTTCTCTTCAATTTTCTTCATTATTCTGTTGAACTAATTTTTTTTTTTTTTTTTTAATCAGAACATCAGTATCCTGTGCGAATCTTAAAGGTGCCATCTGGTAGCAAACTTCCTTTGGAAAATGTTCGCATGCATATTCATGGTGCCAAATTCTGTTTCACTGCATATATTCCTCCGAAGATGTTACAATCCTGGCAGATATCAGATTTACGCAGATTTGGCCTCGTTGAAAGCAAATTTGCATTTGAAGGTGGTTCTCGATGTGGAAAAGGTAAATAAGTGCACATTTTTTTTTTATTCTAAACATTTTACCTTTAGGGTTAATATTTTGTAAATAATCCTCATTACTTATTTGATACATTTCAATTGAATTTGATGAAGATTCATTTTGAAAGATGAGTTTTTAGCAATTTTTTTCTCATTTGTCTAAATGAACTATTCAAATATGAATCTGAAAAAAACAAAATATACTATAATTAAATAATGTGGTTCTACAGAAGGATACTGAGAATTTCATGGTCAGAGTGCAACAAGGAAGAAAATGGCAACAGAAAGAACACTTATACTCAGAATCAGGAAAAGATAGCTGAAATTCCCTTGGACATATGATGAGGAAGGAAGGCTTAAAAAACAAAATACTCACAGGGCATATTGAGATTTTACTTTTGTGTGTGTGTGTGTGTGTGTGTGTGTGTGTATATATATATATATATATATATATATATATATATATATGGCATTCAAATCATACTCTGTTCTGATTGTAAGAAATTAACTAGAATGGTGGATGAGTATGGTTGGCTTCAAAATATAATTTCCTGAGTCTTTTCTGCCAATTTTATTTTTATAAATAAATTTTCATAAATAAGTAAAAAAAAATTTATTGAAAACTGATAATTAGCTGATTTTTAGCTTAGATTTTTATATCAGTATTTTTGTTTATTTATTGTATTTTTGCTTTTCATTTCTGTTTTCATTTTGTTTTTGTCTTTTATTTTTGTTTTTTTTTTTTTTTGCTAATTTTTTCCTTATAAGTAAAACCAGTGTGCTTAATTATTTCTTTTTCTTTAAGAATGTTTTTGACTTGCCTTGTGGTTGAGATAGTTGTGTATTTCCAACTGGTGTCAGAAGTTCAGATAAATGCCTGTCTTCAAGTCAGGTATGCCTGTTCCACTTGGAAGACTGGTACAACACAAATTTCCTCACCATCACTTGGCCTTGTGCCATGATAAACTCAACATCAAGAACATTATAACAAACTTTATTGTTGTAATGAAGCAATTGATAGTCTTTCATTTATGAGATCAGTTTTACTTTCATTGTAATTATTCTATTGATATTCAAGTTGAACTTTTTGATAACCATTTTCCATCTTTCACTTGATCTTTTAAATGCTGTTTGTCTTGTTTCAACTGCTGCATTTATTGTTTTTATCTAATGAACTAAATATCTTTTTAGGTGCTGGAGTTCATGTTATTGCTACAGATCAAGGTGATGAAGTGGCTGAAATTTTCCAAGCTGCCAGTGAGGGAAAGTCATCAGGTAGTAATCGAAAGTGCCCAATAACCAAAAGAAGTAAGTACAACATAACTTATTTTTGACCTGTTTATTTAGCAGCTTGTAAGATGCATAAGATTTTCTTGGCAGATCCAAATTAAAGTTACAATGTGTGTATAATTTAAAATTAAAAGAAGCTTACCAAAGCATAAATCTTTTTTATGGATTAAAGCATTTATCCATATAAAGTGTAGAAGGGTAATTTTATTAACATTTGATCTAATGTCCTTTTCTTTGTTGTTGTTATCACATTTTGATCATTATACTCTCTAGCCATCCTCAGGTGTTTGTTGATCTTATGGAACTTCAAACTGAACCCTTTATTTAATCTATGGGGTAGATTGATCTCATTCTGCTGTTTAAGGATATCTTGTTCTTTTTAGTATTATTCAGTTATTTCCACTGAATCTAAATCTGCACTACTCAGCCAAGGGATTGAACTCACAATTACTATATCACCAAATTCACAAATTAATGCTTTAATCCACTAGGCTATTGTTCTGTGGGACAATCCTGAGCCTATGACTTAGAGCTTTAAACTCAATGTTTTAATTGCCTGCTTGCTGTTAAAAGGATGCTGGAGAGCACAACAGCCAAAATGCTGTGATAATAACAACAAAGATGAGGATATTAGTCTGAATGTAAATAATGAAAACTCTTCATCCCAGAAATTCAAATAGAAGTGTAATTTTACTTGTACTTTTTCCAATCCTGGCATATATAATTTAATGTACCGAATCAAGATGGTTAATTAAATCATTGAAGTCAAATTTTCTCATACCAAGAGCTAATGACAAATGAAAAATGGTTTGCCAAACATTCATTCCTATTAATTTCATTTTAATCTTGATAGCTTTTTCCTTGTTTCATTCAAATTACACACACATAATTCATTTTCTTATATTCATTATAAATTTCTCATTGATAACATTTAATGTTGACTTTTAAGTGTAAATATTACACAATTCTTTTTTTTTTTGTCTTTTCACATAATTATTTTGACAACCAATGCATGCTTCAGACAAACTGAAAATCTCTTGATAGATTTTGCTGAAAGACATTCATATCTGGTGATGATAATAACGTCTCAAAAGGATGTCTGTGTAGTATAGCGGTTATTTATGTGGAAAGTAGAATTAGCAATGCCAGGTTCAAATTCTAGTTGAGAAAGGTATGAATCTATCATTTTTCCTTCCAGCTAAAGGTTAATAGCATGAAGACTGGGCTCTTTAACCTTGGTTAGCAAGCAGTCTAAGAGAAAGACTACTCTGAATTCAAAGCCAGTTAGGAGGTGTGGGGCTGGCAAACTCAACCACATAAAAACCCTACTTGATACAGAAACCACAATAGCAACACCTTGTGGGGAAGCTGTGGCTCTATTCACTACTGAGGAGTCTAATGGCACTGAGGAAGAGAAGGGGTGATCATAATGATGTGCTTTAATAAAAATGATTTATGTTAATTGTTTTTAACTAATAGATCACATTAAACATTAATTTATACCTTTGTTTTTTTACAGGATCACAGATAAATGATTTTTCTGAAAGTACTTTCAAACCAAGTTATTTCAAAGAATCCTCAAATCCAACTTGTCCTGCTGAGTTGGATTTATGGTCAAATGACTATGAATGGCAAAAACGACACTCAATTAGTGCTACTGATTATGGTTGTGCTCAAGGATATGGTGAGAAGACCAAATTGATAAGCATTGAAAATTTAGAGAATGAAGGAAGGGAACATTTACTGGCTATATATGACATTCCACCACGTCGTATACGCAAAGTAGAATGTACGAGCCCAAATCGTAATTCTCTACAATCACCAAGCAAGAATATCTCAGCTTATCAATTAGAACGACATCCTTCAAATGGCAGTTTGACGTGTGAGGCTGACAAAAACAATTTTCTAAAGACAAAAAAAGGCATAACGCAATATCCATCATCAGATTCCTTTTCTCCTTCTGGATCATCAGCAGTAACATCTAACGGAAATGTTAACAGCGCTAGTGAAGAAGAATCGGCTTCTCCATCTTACACAGCAAACAGTGTTATTGATTGTGAAATTGACCGTGCTGCAAACCAAACACGTAGACGAGATGCACACGATAAACTTCACAGAGAAGAAGAAAAATTACAAAGAGAAATTTCCTTGTTAGATGAAATGCTTCAGGTTTGTTGACAAGTATTTTTCTATGAATTTCCAAATTTCTTTTCAATATTAATTTCGGATAACTTTTTATGGATTTCCAAATTTTTTGTAACAATTTCTAATCACTTCATATTTTTTTCTATGAAAAAACATTATTTACAAAAATATTCTTCAAATTTTACTCTGCATGTTGTTACTGATTTTGAATATTTTTTTACGCCATGTTATTTTAAGATGTTGGCAACTATAGCTCTCCAGATTCCTTTTCTTTATTATCTGTGAATTACCATGATTGTTCTTATGAAAGAAAGTGGAGTAGTTTACCATTTCTTCTTCCACAGCTTTGAATTCAATGTTGTCCTATTTTGACTGCCACCAAGTTTAGAGAGTCAAATTCCTTTTTTATTTTAACCCATAGGTGGGGAAAGAAGAAATGGATTCATGCCTTCTCTAAAATCATAAGTGTGAATTGAACAGAACAGAACAGACTAGACAAAAACTTGGCTGACCAATTGACCATTAGACTACAATTAAAATCTGTTTTGTTCTGTCCAAATTTCTTTTTTACAATTTTTAACCTATTGGACTCGGTAATCAACAGTTTCCCCCTTTTTTTTTAATCTCTGAAAGAATTTTTGGCCTTCATAAGATGATTGTTGATCCATTAGGTTTAATATGTGAATTAATCCCTAAATGTCTAATTCAGTAAATAAAAAAGAAAAATCATATTTTAATAAATATATGATTGGAAAAAAACTTTCTTTTTAAGAAAATTGAGAAAAATGATTTTTTTTTTTTTAATCTCTTGGAAAAATTTTCTCAATTACAAAAAAGTTACAGAATTTGACATAAAAAAATTTAATCCATGTTAATATAATAAATATGAATCACAAATATAAATCAATAAAAGTGAAATATAAACTCTTTTAAATATAATTTTAAAATATTTTGTATTTCATTAGTATTTTAGTGTCTGCTCTTAAAAGGAATAATTGGTTATTGGCATTTGTTTCTTCAGTATAACTTGATAAACTTACAAACAAGTCACATGCAATAAGAAAATCAATAACAATGCTCTTTGTTTAACCTTTAGTACTCTGTATGTTGGTGACTTCATCTGTCAAACAAAATGTTTGTACAGCCACTGCATGTAACTCTTATCATCAGGTAATAGTGTGGTTGAATTTTGTGCCAGTGTTGTCATATCCTACTATGGCAACAGGAAAATGACTAACTGAAAATCAAAGATGAGGCTACTGTAGTTGTCTGGCTACTTATACCAAATGGATGAATTACATAGCACAGTGCTAAAGGTGAAATTTTATTCCACATTTATTCTTTAAAAAAGAATTTAATTTAAATTAAACAGTTTTATAAATTCACAAGAAAAATGTTTTAAAGGAGGAGTCTCATGATTAAATAAATAAAACACAGCTAGTGTGTAACTAGTTGAATGATTATAAATATAGGCTGTACATGCTTTGCATGTTCAATGAAATTAAAAGATTAGTGAAGTCATGTATATCAAGTAAATCAGCAGTTAAGAATTTCTGTAGTATAATTGGCTGTGGTTAAGTGTAATTGGCAAAATGCTCAACAAATGGAATTGACAGTTTCCAATAAGTAATAACAAAATAAAGAAAAAGAACAGGGTGAAATAATACTAATACTCTATTGTTTAGGGATCAGAGTCACCTTCAGTGGCTGGATAAACTTTTTGTACAGCAAATGAAGTCACATACAGAGTGATAAAGGTTAATGTCCTGATTAATATATGTCAAATATTTAAGCAGATGTGTATAAAATAATGTGAATAAAGTGTGTGTCTGAAGCACAAAAGAGAATAAACTTTATTAATCACCCAACATAAGTGGTATTTAAATTGAAGAGAGTTCTATTATGATTATTTCAATATAAAAATTGAATTAATTTAGGTAGATTGAAAATTATTTACACATGGACTATTGTCCTCATCTTTGTTGATGTGATCACAAATTTTTGGCCTTCATAAGATGATTGTTGATCCAAGTAAACTGCAGATAATTTCAAACTGAACTGTTATAATATCAACAAAGACAGGGACAATAGTCTGCATGTAAATAGTATAAATAGTGATAATTCCTCATCACAGAAATTAGATTGAACATTTATAACAACATTAGTTTGAACTATTCCATACATTTTGAGCAGAACAAATTTTATATTCATTTTCAGGCAAAAGAAAAAAAAATTAAATATTAAAAATTAATGAATTTCTAGGAAAATGTAAAAATATTGATCAGGCTGTTCCACACATACTTATTTTTTAAAATGTCATATCTCTTCAGGATATAAACAATCATGGTTTTCCATAAATACTTTTTTTCTTTATTATTTGTGACTTGCCATGTCTTGAGAAAAATAGAGTGGTTTCCCCATTGACTTCTCCACAATTTGAAATTCACTTTTCCATCTTAGACCAATTGCCATTTAAGGTTAGAGAGCCAAATCTATCCTGCTTTTTAGCCCATACCTAGGGGAGGAGAAGAGACAATTCATGCCTTTCCCAAGGACATTTGTGAAAAAGTGAATACAGGAAGCTAAGCTGGAATTTGAGCTCTGCTCACCAATTCCACTCTCTGTGCTGATATCTGTTCTTCTACTCCAGTGTTTCTTAACCATTTTTACTTCATGGTACACTTTAAATTTTAATAAGGAAAAATTAGTCATGAAATTTGAAAATAATAAAGAAGTCTCCTGAAATAAGCATTTAATTTTTCAGACATTACATTTTATATTTAAGTGGTAGAGTTTTCATTTCAATTGATTTATGAAGAAACTTCTATTTTTCTTTTTAGAGAGATTGATGATGACTAATTTAAATCCATTGAGGAAGCCAAAAGATATTCCACTCCTTAAAGATTAAGTAATTTAACATCCAGTTTAAAATATCAAATGACAAAGACTTTATTTAAACATGGAAGCCTTGCTCATGGGGTGTCTAGCTTTTTAAAAATTGAGATTTTTTTTTTTTTTAGATATAAAAATAATTAATAAATTACTCGTGACACACCTGGCTACATTTCAGGACACATTGGTGCACCCGGGCACACCGGTTGAGAAACACTGTTTTACCCACACATCCCCTTCCACACATTGTGAAATAAATTAAACTATGATGTCTAAATTTTTTTAAAATTATTTTGTTAGTACAAATCATTGAATGCTAAAACTTTGATGTTTTACAAATATTTTTACTTGGTTCTTGATAAAAATTCTTGATTCTTAATTAACAATTGTTGACCTGATGTTTCTTATTGAACTTGTTATTCTTCAGAGATTCTAATTATTTATAACTTTATTTTTCCAATTTAGGTGTGTCAATTAGAAGAGACAAAGCCAGGCACTGGAGAGAGCAAATCAAAATTTATCGTCAGTATGCATACCAAATCGCCATCACCAAGCCAAAAATTTTCTGCTACTGAAATGTGGGTTGATACAAAACCACAACAAATGGTTCAATATTGCAATAATATTTGTTCCCTTAATAACAACATCACAGCCAAACGAAGTAGTGCTGGTTTCTGGGAGAGTGGAATGCCTAATACAAGTCTTTTACCCAAACGGAATAAGATTCCTCAAAGCTCCAATGCTCCATTGCCTTATGTCAATCTTGAAAAGTACGACATTGAAGATGACTGGCCTCATATTTCCATATTTTCAAATGGAAGCACTGAAAATTTGTTTGACGTCAATGTTAATTGTTCAAATTATGATAATTTGAGTCCAGAATTTGGAAGCATGAGACTGAAACTGGATTACCAGAATAATTCTTCACTGAATTTGAATGAGAATATTAATCGAACAAATAAGACTGATGTTAGAAATAAAGATCTGAATCATGAAAATTCCCCACCACCAAAATTACCCCCTAAAGGACCTATACTACAGAATAGAAACTCTCAACGCCATCTTACCTCATCACTTGAAGCTTGTTCTACATCACCAATTTTAAAAACGTCTCGACGACACACCATGTCACCAGATTCATCAAGTAGTTCGGATTTAAGTCCTTATCACGTTCCAAAAATCAGTCATCCTTTAGTCGTAAGAATGAGAGATCATGATATAAAGGATCCAAGCGAGCCTTACCTTTTGATGAGTGGATTTTCCAAAGAAGAAAAATCTTCCACCTTCAAAGATGATATCGGTGTGGCAAGTGGTTATATGGACATGACTGGAAAATTTGAAATTCCTTCCAGCCAACCTCCCCCAGCATGCTTACCTGTTCAACCTGTCACCACATTCACACCTGAAATGACTCCAATTAATCAGTGTCCACCACCGCCACCATTAAATACAATGCCTAATGAAATGTGGTCCCAATCCATTCACTCAGAAGAGAATTACATGGAAATGGGGGGCTCATTAACTAAAAATTTGCAAACTCTTCATCCAGCTGTTTCTGCTGGAAGCAATAATGATCCCTGTATGTTGCAGTCAAAGGAAACAAAAACTGATTCTTCAACAAATGACTGCAATCCTGTCCCATTTCCTAATCTGAAAAACTTTCAGAGCTTAAACCAAGAAAAAAGTGCTGAATCATCTGTTAATTCTTCTCCAACTAAACCAGCGTGCAAAGAAAAATCTCAGGAAAATGCTGGGAAAAGCCCAGGTTTCTTTTCCCGTTTGATACGTCGAAATTCTAAAGATCATGCCAAAAATTCTCAGAGTCAAGAAAACTTGTTGGTATCCACTTGCTCGTTAGACAGAAGTAATTCTATTCAAGATAATATTTGCCCGGTTAATAATGCAGACGTTAGTGGCAATTTTGAATCTGTGCCATATGAATGTCCTCATCTTTCTGTTGAAAGACAAAGGTCTTCAAGCTTTCCCAGTGAAAGCTGTTTTCATGATATGCTTCCTGAGGGGCCTAAATGTAAAGCAATGCACAATTTGTCAGGAGTCAGACCAAGTGGGTATTCATCTATATCTACGGCCAATCGGATTTGCAATCATCAGGTTTTTAATGCTGGTGTCTGTAACGACACGTATCTTCAGGAAAGTTGCAATAGTCATTGTTCTTGTCAGATGGCCATGAAAAAGAAAAGTAACTTATTGAATGATGATTATTTAGAGTGTCATAGTCTTCCTAAGGATTCAACCTTAGATATACCCTGTGAAAATAACCCCAATATTAGACTGGCTAATGCTCGACCATGTGAATTCAGTGAAAATGAAAATTATCAAAAAGAAATCTCTGATTCGTACATTTATATGGGACCACTGTGCAAGGAAGATAAATTAAAAGGCGATGAAACTTCTTGTGAATCTGTTGCTCAAGACAAAACTGTAAACATACACCATGTGCAAGATGATTTTAGAGTACAATTCAGGGGAAAAGATTCCTCTAAGACAGATGATGAAAAACTATTTGAACTCTACCAGTCTTGCAAATCTAAACATCACGAAGATGAGGAAATGGGTTCACCTGTTGATTTTCCAATTGGAGAATTAAAAGAAAAATTTTCTCTTCCTTTGAATAAGCCAATATCCCCTGATGAACAGGCTGCAGCAATTGCTCGTCATGTGGCTGACTTGCCTCCTTTTATCCCACCAAAGACAAAAACGTATCCTTGCAGTCTCTCGCCCGTGTTTGAATCAAACAGTTTCCTTTTGACAGATGCTGGTCCAGTTGAACAGAAATGTGAGAAAGAATTAAATCTCAACCAAATTGAACTTCTTCAACCTCCTTTCCAATTGAAAGATTTATCTGATTACGTACAACAGAAACAGCAAGTGCAATCATCTCTTCGGATTGCCCCAGCATCAGATGACACTCAGGATATAGTGTGGATACCTCGAGATGCAGATTCTGCTGGTAATGTATATTCATAATTTGATGTATGCATGTAATAGTTGTATTATCCTCTACCAGGATTTTCATTTTGTCACTGTTTTAATTGTAAAATTTATCTGTTAATTACTGAACTTTAGACTGTAAGAATATATTGCTTAGTGAATTAAAAAAAAAAAGTTACAATATTTTGGGATTTATCTATGGCAGTGGTTCCCAAACAGTGCAGCATGCCTCATAGGTGCAGCGGAAGAAGATAGTAGGTGAGGCGTAATAATTGAAAGAAAAAGTTCATATGTCAAAAAAATGTATGATTTCTAATATTATGGTTAATTTTAATTACATGCATGAGTCCCAGTATAAATAGTTATAAATAATTATTGACCAATTTTATCATTATGATATTTTTGCATTATATCAAGTCTTAAGAATATAATAACTAAGCTCCACAAATTGAAGGCAAGAGTTAGCAATGATAATGTTCTGACTTCAAATCCACAATTCTCTCATATATATATATATATATATATATATATATATATATGGTTGGATAGATGTGAGTTTGTGACCCTGGGTTTCCCACTTTAGCAATCATCAGAAAAACTGATTAATGTTTTAAAAAAATTTGGGTTTATGTAGATTGCGTGTATTGGTGTTATTGTGGAAGTGGTGGGGAAACTTAGTCGTTTTGTCATTTATCATTATTAGCATAAACATCGATGTATGCAGACACATATACATACTTGGTCGTCCCGGGACTCATACATATATAAACATATGTGGGCAGTTTCGGATATGACATATGTATGTATCGGGTGGTGTTATGTCTATACATACGCATTTGTATGTTGAAATGTTGAAATTTAAACATTGGAAGTGTATGGAAATGTCTCGTGAATGTATACATGTCATATGTATTTTTCCGCTGAAAAATATTTCCTGCATGAATGTAGTTTTAGTGGTGGTAGCTTGAACTAAAAAGTGGTTGTTGGTGTTTTATTTTATTTTTATTTTATTTTGTTATATGTATTAATTTATTTTGGTATAAATCCTGATAATAGGTATTCTGTGTAAAATTATGGTAGTTGAAGATTGCTATAATTTTTAATTTTTACAAAATTATTATTGTTATTATATTAAAGCTGCCTGGTAATAGGTGTTTATTCTCATGGTTACATATGGAAATTATATCTGATCATATTGTTTTAAGGTATTAAATATGCTGGGGGAGTAATAAAGATTGTAGTGGATTTATATGTTAATAGTGGGTGTGATGTGTAAGTGATGGTGCTGTGTTAGTGGTAATGATAATATTATTAGTGTTATGATGTTGATTTGGGGTTAGTAGAGACAAACGCCAAATAACACGTAACAATAAAAAGGGTTTTAATAGGTTGGTAAATAGGTACAGAAATCGCCTGAGTAGCCAATACTAGCTCAGCTAAGAACTGCTCCGTCTCTCTGTCTTCTGACATACCACTATTTACCGTCTTTGTTCGCAGACAAGTTCATCTTCAAGAGGGGTGGTAGGTTTCTGACACAACAATTAGTTAATAGTTATTGTAAAGTGGTAAAAGTGATTACTAATGGTGGTGCAATGATAATAATGATAGATGCAATTATTTTGATGGTATCTTGAAATTAAATTGTGATTGTTGGTGGTTTGTCTGTTTTATCCGTTTGGTATGAATTCGGATAATAGGTACTTGTTCTCATGCCTACATTTGGAGATTATCTCTGATTTTTTGTTTAGTAAGTTCTTTTGCGATTTGTGTGATATTATTGCTACTTTTGTGTGTAGGCAAAGTAGTCATTTTTTCGTAATGTTGTTGTAGGCAGGGGCTTTTTTCAATATTTCCCAACTTCTTGTTGGTGTGATGTTTTTGTCTTTTTGCTGCCATATGTATGTAGAAAGTGTTGTGCTGTTCGAATATTTCCTGTTGTTGAATGAAAGGTTGTGATTGTTATTCCTCATCTTGAATGGACCTTCGGTGGCACCGATGTAGTGCATAGTGTTGTTGTTTGTACTTACCTTGGCCTTGTATATCGTGTTCGTAAGTTGGCAATTTCCCTGGAGTGGACATCATGTTCTGTTTCTGCAGTTGCATATTGGATCCTTGGTTTCATTTTTGTAGGTTGTCATTTTTTTGTTGTGGCTTTTGATTATTTCTGTTATGTTTTTTGTACAGCTGTAACTGATCTTTACGTTATTTTTGTTAAATATTTTTGATAACTTGTTTTCTTCAGTGAAGTGTTTTTCTATTAAGTTTAGGAATATTTTGCCTATGTTCGTTTTAACAGTTTTGTTATATGATGGATTAAACCAGATAATTAAAAATAAATATAAATAATAATAATTTTTACCTATCATAATTTTACACAAACCCCACCACACATATATACATACATGCGAGGAAATATTTTTCAGCGGAAAAATACATAATATGACATGTATACATTAACGAGACATTTCCGCCACACTTCCAATGTTTAAATTTCAACATTTCAACATACAAATGCGTATGTATAGACATAACACCACCCGTATACATACATATGTCATATCCGAAACTGCCAACATATGTTTATATATGTATGAGTCTCGACGGACGACTAAGTATGTATATGTGTCTGCATACATCGATGTTTGCGTTAGTACGATGAATGACAAAACGACGAAGTTTCCCCCACCACTTCCACAATAACACCAATACACACAATCTACATAAACCCAAATTTTTTTAAAACATTAATCAGTTTGTCTGACGATCGCTAAAGCGTGAAACCCAGGGTCACAAACTCACATCTATCCAACCAAATATGTTAGCTCTATCTCTGATATTGAGCGCTTTCTAATAAGTACCGCACTTATAATATATAAATAATTATACATATATATATATTTATTTATATTTATATACACTTTTCACACACACATATATATATCTTTAAATGTACTTTTTATCATATAAAGTTTGGAGAGGTGCAAGTAAATTTTCATTCCAAAAATGTGTCCAGAGGGAAAAAAAAAAAAAAGTTTGGGAACCACTGTTCTAGGGGTACCAGATTTTTATGAGATAAAAACCATTACTGCATCTTTGCCTAAAAATCACATTGGGGATCAAAAGAATGCTATCTTTCTAAAAAGATGTCTTATTGTTTTGACAAAAGGAATCAAATGAAATAAACTTTTATTGTTAAATTTTAAAGTTTCTTTTTTTCATGAGTGTAAAAAAAAATTGCAATTTTACTTTCATGAATTTCAAATCAATAAAAATGTTGGTATAAGATGTTTTTAAATTTCAATTCTAATATGTATAATTTTTATCTCTAAAAATCTATGTCCACTACACGAGCACATTGTGCCTCACTGGTAATTTTAGATAATCTACTTAGTAACACACTTGTCTTTTATTTCCTTCATCCTATCAATTGCTCACAATACGACTATAAAGAAAGCTTAAATAATCAACAACTAAGCAAAGTATTGGGAAATATAACAATATGCCTTTCTCTGTGCCGTTAGTTTTTAAATATCATGTTTAGCCAGCATCAATATCTGTCTTTCATTGTTTTTTTTGTTACTTTTTAGGGTCATCAAAATTTCTTTCTGTTTATTTATAAATCACATTCTTCCTTTCTTGTTTGATCAGCTTTATATGTTGTTTTTGAAAGTTTTGTCTGTCATATCATCACTCTGCATGCATTTAGGCCAAATTAATTTAGATTCTGATTTTATAATTTAAACAAATTTGTTTTGCAGTAATAGTTTCTATTATTGACATTTTTATATCATAAATATAAGAAAGTTATTGAAAATGTTCATTATAAACACTAATTCTAATCCTTGGAATCTCTTTATGTCAAATGTTGGGCAGCATATATGGGGATCTTTTTTTCATGTTTTTATTTTGATGACTTTTAAACTTTATTTTTTTGGTATTGTCTCTAATCTTTAAAGAAAATTTATTTTAACGCTTAACAACCATTTTATTTCACTAATGTATTTTTTAGATATAAATGCTTACTTAATCTTTGAAAAATATTTGCATAGATACCTTGAATTTTTATTTTTAGATTAATAATAGGTTGAATAACTGAACTTTAGTTCAATTGAAATTTAGTTGAAAAATAAAACATGAGTGGTTTTCTAGTTCAGTAACTTATTGTTTCTTCTTTATAATGTCAATTATAAATAACAATGTAAATTAATCCAACTCTTATCAATATGCCCAACTCTTACCTTATATAGAAAGGATTTGAACGCATAAACACATGGAATAAAGGATTGTTAGGCATACCAATTTGCCCATGGGGTGCTATGAAAAGAGTGATTTCAGAGATTGATTTGAAATTACATCAGTTTAATTGTTTTATTTTTGGAATGACTTGAAGGATGGGGTATGTGCTTTGTGGGACAAGTGAAAAGAATTTTTTTTTTTAATTTGCAACAGGCAATCCAACAACCAATTTTAAAGTAAGTCAAAAATTAAAGATATTTTCTTATGATAGTTTTTGTTAATGCAAAGCTACAAAAAAGTTGATGATTGATTAAATATTTGATGAAGGAGTTGCGATTCGAATATGGAATGAACCAACAATAATATGAGAATAAATGGTTTCAAACAAAAGTGTATGTTTTCAACTGAAAATTTGAAAATCATAAGAACAAACAAAATGTGAATGAAAACCATGAAAAGTTATTTGCTTTTTGCGGGGAAGGAGAGAATTTGTCTTTTAAGAATTTTTATGAAAATCTATATACAGGAAAATATAAAATAATACTGAATTTTTGATAATATGCGGCTAAAAAAGTAAAATTTCTATATGTGAAGTTGGTAAACAAAAATAATGTAAGTCTTCTTTTTCTTTTTGGATGTACAGAAATACCTTAAAGTTATTTACATTCTGACTAATGTCCTCATCTTTGATGTTATTATCACAATGTTTAGTCTGAATGTAAATAAGGAAAACGTTTTATCCCAGAAATTCAGACTTAAATAGAACATTTTAGTTGCCCCTCACTTAAAGTAATAAATATATTCAAACAATTTTTTTAACTATAATTCATATTTTATATTTGGCTTATTTTTAAAAGTTTTTTTTTTTTTCTTTAAATCATATGAATGGTTCACAAGGTTTTTTGTTTTCTTGGTGTAAATTAGTGGATAGAAAAACTTTTCAATGTTTACATAATTTTAAATCCAAATTATTTTTTCTAATTTTATTGTGTTTTGGCTGTTGTTTAAATAAGATATTTACCTGACACGTTTGATTACTGAGAAAGCAGGTTTAACAAGACTTTGTAAAATTCTTTGAGACCAAAAGCTAGGCCTACTCATGGGTAAGATTGCTGAGTTGCAGAATTTGACTTCTGAATCATGTTTTCAACTATTTTGAAGGATATTTATACAAATAAGTCTTTTAAGTAGAAGAATATCTCTGTTGTTTTGGTAAGCTAAAATTGTTTTTAGTTTATAAATTTATAAATCTTTTAGCTTTATTATTAAATGGAATAAGAAAATACATGAATGAAAAAAGTTGCTTTTATTTTCCAAATACTGTCATGATATGAACATCTGTATATTTCATAATTTGGTAAAGAATGATGATGTATGTAGAATAATTTTGAAAAGCTGCTTCCTTTGTCTTCAATGTTTGGAGGTTATCATTCAGATATAAACTTTCTGTGGGTCTGCCTTTACCTTAGGTCACATTCTTTATTTGTTCAGCTTGTTCCCAAATATAAAAAATGTAATTGAATGCAGAGATTTTTAAGAAACATTAATTACTGATGATGTCAATGTCTTCATGTAAAATTATTTGAAAAATTAGTTTTCTAATCTGATGGCAACTATTATTACAATGTCATTAAAATAAAAGAAACCTCTTATTGAAGTATTATAAATTATGAGATAACTTCATAACATTTCCCAAATAAAACAGCTTTAATTACAGTCTTACAAAGAAAAAAATTAAGTCATTTTTCTGTCCCCCTTGACTATGCGGAAAACAATCAACTTGAAGCAGATACAAATACAAATACCAAAAGCACATTGTTTTTCTGTGCATTTATTTTTGACAGTAAAGTTTATATTTATTTGTTGCAATTACTTGTTGCTTTTATTTTATAATACTGTCAATTGTATCCAATTTAAATGCATATTGCATGCCTATGTAACTTTATTGTTTAAAATAATGAAACCGGCTTCACTGCATGCTTTGAGAAATACTAATTGGAGATAGTTTACTGTGAAAAATACTTTTTCCTTTTTTATGGCAAAGCACATTGGCTTTAAACTTTTCAAAACTGTCATTTAGAGGAAAAAGTATTTAAAAACGATGACAACTAAAATTATGTTCATTTGCATGCTTATAAAAAACTGCTTATTTAGTTTTGAATCAGATGGAAATTTTAACTGTTTTGATTTTAATTTTTGCCTTTAGGAGAGAGGCAGTAAAAAGTTGGGACTTTCAGCTGTTTAGGATTTAGACTATCTGAATCCGGTAAGAAAGTAAATATATAGAGTTGTTTTATTTTCATTTTATTTAATAACAATCATAATATGCCATACAGATTTCTACAATCTTTTATACTATCTCTTCATTTCTAAACTGCAATCTATAGTTTTCATATAAAGAAATTGATCTAGTTTTTTGACAATTTTTGCAATCCCCAAATATTTTAATATTGCATTTTTAATTGACATGAGAACACTTAATTTTAATGCCAAAAATGAACAGATTTCATTCTTATAAGAGAAGAATTTGAATTGCAAAATCTGTTCAGTGAGAAACAAAAATGTTGTGGAAATCTGTAAGAACTTTTAATAAAACATTTTCAAGTTGGAATAAAAAGTAAATTTGCACAAATATTCAATTATTTTCTTTAAATTTCAACTTGTTTGTTTAAAATGTTTTTGAATATAATACTTCATTTATAGAATTATAATGGCTAATGTTTATATATTGTTATATTCAAAAACATTCTGTAAATTAAAAAAAACATAGTCATTTTGTAATAACATTACATTTAAACATTGATTGTCAGTTAACCCATTGCATTCAAATATGTCAAAACACACCCTTCTAACATGAACAGTGTTTTTCTGCTTCTGCCCGTTTCATGTATTACTAATCATTAAAATTTGCTCAAATAAATTCTATTTTCAAAGTTTTCATTAACCCATTATAACTGCTGCAGAAATTTCCCTTATTTGCAACTGAGGCATAGAATTGCAATCACAGAAATTAGGTTAAGTTTGCCAGTCTCAACCAAAGTATAACAGACTTAGCATAGTTTTCCAAATTTAAAAAATTTTGTAAACAAAAAATGACCTAGTTAGATATAAACACAAACTAAAAGAAACATGTATACTTTGTAATGGGACAGAAAAACAACAAAGATTATGATTAAATCAATATATAAGAACACTTCTTATTTCAATAATGATGTTTATGAAAGTATAAACAAAGAAAATTCTCATATTTTCAGTAATGAAAGCTCTTTAAAGAGAAAATATAATTTTTAAGACTTCTACAAGAGAGAAAAAACTGGTTGTGATTTTTTTATTAAAAGTATTTTCATTAATTATAAAACTTTGACTTGGGATTTTCACTAGAAAAATACTTATCAATTAAAGCTTAACTGATAAGTATTTTTTTCTGTTCAATAATATTAAAAGGAAAATGTGTATTCCTAAGAAAAATGAAAATTTTATGTTTTCTCTCCAGATTGTCTTTTTAGTTAAAATTCAAATAATTGCTACAAAATTACTCTTGAGAAGTTTATAAATAAGAAATGAAAAGAAATAGTGTGCCCATATTTTAAATAATTTCTCAGAAATATTTTCATTATATTTTTTGGCTTGTTTTCCTATTTTGGTTTATGTATTTAAATATATTTTTATTTTTGTGGTAAATTGATTTTTTTCTAAGATAGTTTCAAACTTTAAAACTAAAATATTTATTTTTCTTGTTACATCATTGGAAGGACAATTTGTGAATTTCTTTTTTTGTATACCTATATTTTAACAAAGCCTAATTTTGGGTAATGAGAGAGAAAATTCCAAGAATTGTTTAATCAATTGACCAATATCTTAAAATTACTTCTTTAATTCTCTTTCAAGTATAAATTTGTTTTACTAGTGGATTCCCACTGATGCTGCATTTTAATGATTTTTTGGATTTTATTACAGAAAAAAAAACAAATAGCTAAATACAAAACTTATTTTTCTTCTATAGTTCTTAAATTATTTGTCGTCTCTTTAAGGTTTGTTAATTTTTTTGCTAATTTTATGTCTTAAACAGTCATTGCTATTTTTAAAAGGTCAAAATAAGTAAAAATAACAATAATTAAATTAGAAAGTAAATTACAAACAATAGAGTTGAGAATAGAAATTCTGACACATTTGAGGGGAAATAACAATTGTCTGAAACAATGAGAAAATCCTGACCAAAAATTATATAGTAGCAAATAGAAATGAATTATTAACAATGATTGACAAGATAGAATCATGTATTTATGGAGGTTTGACTTTTGTGCTATGAACTTTTAGAGTGTTAAGCACTTTACACTTAAAAGTGGAAATAAATAATAGGTTTTTGTATTTGAACAATTATTCCTTGTTATATTTTTTCTTTTTCAAGTTTCTATTAAAAAGGAACACCTTTAAAACTAAGGCAGAAATTAATTCATTTTGAGAACTTAACTATTTTAGTTCATATTTCATACAAATAATGAAATTTTAGTAACATATGTTTTGTTATTCAGACCAATATAGTCATCTTGGTTGTTATACTCCCAGTGTTTTGGCTCTTGTATTTCCAGCCTTCATCAGGTATTTTTCATGAAACTTGGTAAATTTTTTGGAATTTTGAGTTGAACTTTTTATTCATTTCATGAGAGGTAGATTGTTCATATTTCTGCTTTAGGGAATATTTGATATCAGTCGATGCTCACCAGTTTTATTTAACTTTGTGTTGCCTGTCTGCTTAATCCACTGAACCAATGTGACATTTTAGTACTATCAGATGCAGGGATTGAACTTATAACTGCAAGGAAACCAGATATGTTTTAATCAATATATTAATCCACTAAGTCATAGGCTCTGGTTCAGTGGAAGAGACAGACAAGTGATACAAAAGTGAATAAGACTGATATTAACTTATTAACTAATATGAAATATTCCCTAAAGCAGAAGGAAATAAGCCTATTCTTATGGATTGAATAAAAGATTTGGCTCAAAATTCTGAGAAGGTTACCAAGTATGTACAACAACTGACATTTGAAGAAGGCTGGAGGATACAATATCCAAAATGTGAGTATAGGAACCAAGATACTGTTTGAAATAATAAAGTATACAATAATGATAATTCTATCCCAAAGATTCTGAAAGAAATTCAGTTAAGTCCTAGATGAATGAAAAGGCAAAATTTCTTTCAAATATTGTATTTTCTTAGTTTATATACTTCTGATGATACAAGATGTAAATCTTCTTGTTATGTATTTGATGCAATATGAACAAATAACAATAAAAACTAGGTTTTTAAAACTGGATATAATTCAGTTTTTTTTTTTACTTTTACTATTAATATGGTACCAAAGTTAAAACTTTTGTGTAACTTTTTCTACCAATTTCTTTTATTGGAAATATAATGTTGCCAATACCAGTGATGTGTGTGTGTGTGAGATAAAATATAGTTTTAAGTTCTAAGTTCATTCAAATTTTACATCTTCATCTTACAAAAATAAACAAAAAACTATTTGAACATAACTTCTGAATAATTTTTGTGTAAAAATGCTATAGAATCTTTCATTTATGTGCAGCCATAAAATGAGCCTCTCTACAAAATAGAACAAGGGGTTAAATATCCAATAATTCCATCAACAAAAGTTGTACTATTAATAATAAAAATTTCAAAGATTTTGAAAGGAGATATTTTGGGGTGAAAGTACTTTTCAGTGGACATAAGAAATCTACTCTTTCCCAAAATCTATGCATCTTTTTTTTTTAACAAGGGGAATACTCCCCTTCATAACTGCAGTGATGACTAACTTATGATAATGTAATTTTTGCATTCAACACAAGAAAATGAAAAAAAATAATTGTTGAAACCAGAAAAAAATATGAATTTACATTGATATAACAATTATTTCAATCAGATTATTTGCATTTAGAAAGTGCAGGACATTTTTTACACCTAATCTAAGACTCTTTATAGGTAAAAATCTACCCTAAGAAATAAAATTAGTCATATTATTGAATTAAAATTTGTTGATAGTTTGTGAAAAAGAAAAGTATAACTTTTGTTGATGGAATTATGTATATGTAGGAAAGGGAGCACTTTCTCTTTGTGCATAATTATAACCAACATTTGTGTTCTTATATTCTCCCTATCCTTCTTACACATATATAATTCCATACATTACTTAAACTTAGTCTGATTACGTTCTAAAGTACAAAACATATCACAAAGAATTTTTTCCACTTTATTATTAATTTACTTAACATTGTTCTGATGAATAAAAATTTATATATCATATTCTCCCAGAATAAATATATCGGTAAAACAGATATTTAGAAATTAGTATTTCATTAAAAATAATGGTGATGGCTTTACATAAAACATTAACATTAATTTATCAAAAGAAACTTTGTATCTTGTTTATTTTCTTCATGCTTTTAATGCACAAAGTAAATTGTATTTTTTTTTTTATCATTTTTATAACTGTAGGGGATATTCTTGATTCTTAGTGTTTCTCCTAAAAGACATTTTCTTTTTAATCTTTCAAGATTGAAACAGTTTTTACATAAACATAGCTTTCCTACTCCATTTAGGGATCATTTCTGACAATTTTTAGCTACATTCAAATAAAATTTACAGTGTAACAAAGTGTTTAGATTTTCATAGAAATTTTTAAGAATGAAAAATTTCTCAGTTACTGAAAGCAGATGTTGAATACTGAGTTTATTTTCCAAGGTATTAGTTAATTTTAATTTTTAATGTTTGCACTAATTTTACTGTCTTTTAAGGATTGATATAACAGTACATTGTGAATAACGTGTGCATTTGTGTAAAACATTAGAAATAATCAGTTTTCTTTTTTAATAAATTGCAAAATTAATCATTAATGTATCTTGAAAGACTTTCTGTTGGACTTAGATTAAACTTGAATGGACATGTTTAATTTTGTATAAGTGTTGTGTTGCATGAAGAGCTTCATCTTTCCATCATTTTTGTTTTTCTCCAGTCACAAATTTGTCTTATTTTATGCACAGACACTTTCATAATTATTGCTCATTCTGTCAATGTTATGCAGTTTATTTTTATTGTATGTCATTAATATTTTTTAAGTTTACCTTGTCCACAAATTAGTTCTTTACATATTTCATATACTATATACTTCTCAACACTTGGTTGAAAACACTGTCCAATGCATTTTGTGGATTGACATTTGATCAATTTAATTGCTTTTTTATTAACTATTATTATTATTTTCTCTC